GCGGGGGCGGGGGGAGTCAGCCCAAGCCTTCCTCCTGCCCCGTCTGTCCCTGGCTCCCTGCCCAGCAGGTTGGGGAGGCAAAACTGGAGGCCTGACTCTTGCCCAGGTTGGCCTGGCTCTGCCCATTGGCCAAGGCCACCTCTTTGCTCACAGGTCTAACTCCGTTTCTTTCCTCCTCATGGGCTTTTGGACTCCCGAGACCCTTCCCGGCCACTCCAGACGCTGCAGAATGGCCCCTGGTTGAGGACCACTCATTCTGGCGAAGGCCCTGCCTCGGGGCACCCGGTGCCTTAGGGGAACTGGGTCTGGATGCAAGCGGGAAGCACAGGCTGAGTTTGGGAGACAGAGATGGGGGAAGGGGTGAAGCCGGTGAAGATCTGCAAGCCGGGCAGCCCCGGGACGAAGCGGCCCAGGGAATGTGCTTGGGGAGCAGAGAGAATGGGGCGAAATATGGAAAGTAGCCAGGATCCGTTGGAGCGAGACGAGCAGTGGAGACCGTGTTCTGACCATAGTTCTCAGCGTATGCCTGCCAACTGCAGGCATGGGCCAAGGTGAAAGCAGGGAGGCCAGGACAGGGCGACTGCCATGGTCCTCTGGTGACCGTGACTCTGATCAGGGAGTGTGCTGGAGAGAAGTAACCTGCTCCAGGAAACACTTAGGTGCGAGTATGTAGTTGGCCAGACTCAGCAGGGGCAGTACGGCAGGAAGGACAGCGTGTGCGTGGTCCTGAGGAAAGCGTGAGCTCTACGTATTCATTTGCTAGAGGGGCGTAGCTGACTGTCACGGGAAGAGGAAGGGGCCCGATTTTGAAGCTGGGGCTCAGCCATGCAGGGCCCTGCAGCCTGCTCTCCTGGGCACTGGGGAGCCATGGCAAGTTCTGAGCAAGGGGGAGAACAGGTTTAGGTGTGTGCGTGAACAAGGTCCCTCTGTGCTGCCCATGAAGTTGCTTGGAGAGGGTGAGACTGGGACCAGCAGAGCAGGGGGCGGGTGGGCAGGGAGATCGAGGGGATGTTGGGGGTCCCCCAGCCCCGAGTCTCAGTAGGTGCCAGAGCTGAGAGGCCAGAGACCCTTGAGTTTAAGTGCCAATCTCTCTGTGACCACAGACTGTTACTTTTCCCCTCTGGGCC